AACACAAATCACAGAGCCGTACTGAAAAGTATTTGAGTAGTTCAGCAACGTGCACAAAAATATATTGATTGCAATTAGACATTTCTTCAAATTGGTTATTTGAAGAAAAGAAACAAATCTTGAATGATTTGAATAGTAATTATTTTCTTTCTTCTGGAAATTGAAGACAGAAGTTGCTAACCACGATGAGAGGAAGTTTTGTTACAATGCATGATGTATACAGCATCATTATGGATAACATTTTGAATGTGTCTCAGAATATATTTTCTTCAATATTATGTGTTTCCTGAATTCATTATATTCATCGCGTGACTGAGAAACGGCCTCAAATTGCAGTCGAATGTAAGCGGCTTACAAAAAAATTTTGAATGACGAAAACTGAAAAAAGATGAATCCGCAATACACGGGCTTGATAGGCAAAATTGGAAACTCTAGCGAAGAATAAATGTATTGAAAATTGTTTTCCCACATCAGAAGAAAAATATTCTCCCACGTATCATCATCTGGAGATGATGCGTCGGAGAACCTAACATTTTATATGCGAAGAAGTCAACTGATAATGGAAAATGGGCAATGTTCTTGAAAAATTATTCATTTCCTCCTCACCCTAATTTGGTCAATTTAAGGTCATTAATATCTCAAGCAACCAAAAACGAAGATAGTGGAAGGTTCAGTTTACGCAGGGAAGGACCGATATGCTTCTGAAATCATCGGGTTTTATCTCTCGATGATATTAAAGAAACATTTGTGTTCTATAAGCGTAGAAAGGCAAATATCGCTCAAGAACGATGTTCTACCTGTTGCCACGAATAGTTTGCTAGAAACTGACCCGGTATGTGATAACAATTTGTATTTGAGTGGGGCTGTGATTTTTAACTTCAACGCAACTGTGGCTACTCATAGGTCTCCTTGGCAGAGGACGTATAAGAAAGGAAAATAAGCTCTGTGGCAGGTGTTCCCTGGAAGCTACTGTAAGACAGTAAACGCTTACAGAAAAACGCTTACATGACCTAATAGATATATCCATTTTTGATTTTCTTATACAAAACGGGGACAGGCACCATTATGAAACTCCCGATGATACTGTGCTTTGGCTAGACAATGGTGAAGGATTAGGGAACCCAAATACCTCTCACATCGATATCCTAGCCCCTCTGTACCAGTGTTGCATTTTGAGAAGAGAAACCTGGAAGACTCTTTTGAAGTTGACAGAGAGAACTATTAGGAAACATCTGGAGATGATCCCTGGTGTCAAAACTGTGGTTACGGAAGACCATTTAAGAGCTATCGAACAAAGACTTTTGATTGTATTCGCCACAACTAAATATTGTAGACACTTAAAACAATCTGAACACTATTTAACGTGATATATTTTTTTTATTGATATTGCCTTTTTGTCAAACACGTAACTGATTTTGTTTTTAAATCTCCAGATTTTCAATCATTAGAATTTTATTTTTTTCTCCGATGAATAATCTTTAATTTGTTTTTCACCAAACTTCTCTACAACTACTGTTATACTACTAAGTTAAAACTTGTTGTTCTGCTCATTTACTTTCCGTCTATAATTATTCTTTTCTCAGACTTCTATTATTTCCATGCAGCCGAGAAGGAGAAAATAGATGAAAAATATATCAAGATGGGCATTGTCCTCAAATAAATTGAGACAGTGTGACAAAAAATGTATTATTCATGATGATCCTATTCGACTGAAAGCCACCGGGACATATTTTGTTTTTGAAATGTCCATTTCAAACTGTTACGATACTCGTCTCGTCTCGGGGGTAAAGTGAAATTTTAATATGGTAGAATGAAAATTCCCTTGAATTTATTCGGTTGTCAGGACAAATTTCAGCCCAAAACAAATGTTCAAAACGGTTTTTACATTAGCTTAGAGGGATCTACAGATGGGTTACTGTATTACGAAATATTTTCGGAGACGCCCAGACTAAATAAATTCCAGGAATATTTCAAGCATTTTCCACGAAAATCTGAATAATGTGTCGGGGACTGATAACGTATGCGGACATAACAGTTTGGAGCTGATACATTAAGGACGTTGCGTAACTTTTTGTGGAATGTTGGAATTTTGTTCTCATAAATTCACCAAGGAATTACAATTTTCATCAATTCGTTTTAATACAATTGTATCTTCTCAAATAAGTTCTCAGACAACTAAATTTAGAATTATGTTCCAGCAACACCGTCACGACTGAAATCCATCAATAGAATTCATGTTTTTATTCGAACGAAAGAAAGATCTTATTGACCTAACAGGGTCATTGCAATCAACATTACAATTATTTACTATATAAAACAACAAAACATGACAGATACTGAACTGTACATTTGAAGGTAATTAACAGTTTTTATCGAGAGTAATTAATAAAACTCGTCAATGGTATAGCAGTTTCTTTCGATTAAAAATTTTTCAATTGTCTTTTGAAAATGCAGATGTTCATTGAGTCCTTAATAGAAACATCTAGCTTGTTATACAATTTGGGTCCAAGGTATCGGTGACTCTTCTGATAGAGGGAGGTTCGGTTAGGATTCACTATCAACAACCCTCTCATTCTAGTAGCGTATGGGTGGTCTTGCTGGTTTGCGCTAAATTTTTCTTTATTCTTATGAATGTAGAGGATATTGACGTCATCATCCGAGTCAGTATAACAATCTGGCAAACACGCATTTGTGATTCGTGGCGCGTCACACCTATGATTTTTGTATCACTCATTATTTGTTCACAGTAAAATGATTCGTGCTGGTCCAATAACCATTTATATATTGCAAAATATTGAATAAAAAGTTCAACTTACCGCAAATTCTTCCCTCATTTTCACAAACAGTGATATCCAAGGTGTTCACAGTCAATCTTTGGCTTGCAAACAAGGAGTTCCACAGGGGTGTATACTCGGACTACTGCTTTTTTTATGCATGCGAACGACCTGATACAATACCTAAATAATCTTTGGTAGATACATATAGTTGCATATGCAGACGATACAAATGTTCCGGTCACTGATCATAATACATTAGCACTTGCAGAAACAACAGAATCCATACATGAGAAAATAATGAAATGGGCTGATAAATATCATTCAACAATAAATATCAGCAAAACAGCATTAGTAAAATTCTCTATGCAGAACATCACTGAAAATCTCAAAATATATGAAGATAGCCAAATAGAGGTGGCATGCATCCCAGACACAAAAATGCTAGGTCTAATTCTAGATCATAAGCTCAATTGGGGTCCTCATATAGATTCACCATGTGATAAACTACGAACGAACTGTTATGCACTGAGATTCATTTAGAATCAATGTGAAAGAGAGGTTCTCCTGAATCTGTATTATGCAACTATTGGCTGTCACTTGCGCTATGGAATCTTGAATTGGAGTATGAGGTCTTCAGATGGAAGAGTATTCATTTCAGAAAAGCGCGCGGTCAAAAAAATAGCTAGTTTGAGATGGCGACACTCATGCAGAAACTCATTTTAAAAGCTGCAAACGCTCACAGTTGTTGGTCAGTATATTTGTAAGAATATGAAAAAAATTGGTGCAAACCAACAAGACCACCCATACGCAACTAGAGCTAGCGGGTTGCTGATAGCGAATTCTCACCTTACCTCTCTGTGTCACGAGGGTCATCTATACCTTGGATCAATACTATATAACAGACTAGATGTTTCTATTGTCAAAAGTCATTTTTGCTCCCCAAATATGAGCTGTAGTCCTCGTGGTTCTGGTTCCCTTTCAGTGGAAGTGCTTCATGGAGTAAGAACCGTATCGATCCTTCTTGGAAGGATTTATTGCAGTTCAAGAAGTGGTTCTGATTCACATTCTGTGGAACATGTTCTTCCTTACGAATCAGTCAACAGTTATCCTGAATATCTTGCGAAGAAAATTGGATTAGATAATTTAGAAATTACTTGCTACATGAATAGCATTTTACAAGGGTTGTTCATGACGGTAATTTCAAGAAGAAGGTTTTAACAATTAACGAGAACGAGAATGTTTCCTACTTACTGACTAAACTCAAACACCTATTCTCACCAACTGATTTCCTAGAGTTTTTGAAGTCCACTAGATACTCGTTAGGACAACAAGAGGATTGTTCTGAATTCTAAGGAAGCTTGTTAAATACAGTTCGTTGGCAGGAATTTAGCAGAATCAATACTCCTGACCGCTGTGAATTGAATGATTCCGTACAGTCTATCTCGTCTTGTATTTGTAGATCTTCTGCTGGAAAAATCCTCACTAGTTTACTTTGTAGTACATATTCAAAAGGTAGCAAAAACGTATGTGATTTACTTTAACTGGTGTTTCCCAATATGACTGATAACCAGTAAGTGCAAATCTCATTGTTAAATCATCTGAAAATAGAACCTTTAACGGGTCATGATCAACTGTATTGCCAAATATGCGCCAAACTAACTGACTAATTGTAAGACAACAAGTATAGCTGAATCACCAGTCAATCTAATAATAACACTGATGATCTTCAAACATGACTCAACCTCTGACGAAAGCACCAAACTCTTACGAAGTTTCGAAATAGATGAACAGTTCAATCTAGTAGATCACTATTATAATCTTCTTGCAGTCATCGTTCACTGTAGTTCTGGAGTTGAATCTGGTCATTATTAGGCCTTGGACAAAGACGAAACGGACTAGTTTGAATTTGACGATAGTCGTGTCACTAAGTGTTCTTGCGAAGTATTGAATTTATTGGAGCATCTGGAGACACCGTACATTTTGTTTTACAAGAGAGAACATTGGCATATCAAGATCGTCAGATGATGTGGTACTGCAAGTTTTTCGGGTTTTCCTGCACCTGAAGAAGCAAATGCGCCACTGGAACCAACCAAGTCGCCTCGAGGCGTCAATTAATTTTTGTTGTTGTTTCATAATTTGTATTACTTTGACATGTCATGACATGTCATCCCTGCATATTCGAAAGACAATTGAAAAAATAGCTCATTGAAAGAAACTGCTACACCGTTGACGAGTGTTAATATCTTCTCTCGATAAATAATTGTTAATTACCTTTATCCAGATTAGTATCTGTCATGTTGTGTTGTTTTATATATTTTTTCCAGTTATAAATATACGTCTTCCTTATTACTGTATTGTAATGCTTTTATAGTGTTCAACAAGTGAAATGATATTATTATTACCACTATTATTATTATATAGATTGGTATACGTATCCAATTCACATCTCAATCATTTTCTGATTCTGCCCTTCTACGCAAAAAATATTGGCCTGCTATTTTTGGTTATCTCATAATTATTATCAACAGTTATTTTGTATGAACTGTCTGTGCCATGCGACGTTCAAAACAATAAAAAACATCAGACTAGCAAAAAACATAAAAAGATATTTATTCATCAAACCACTGACGTGTTGACAACAGTTGAGAGAAATAGATCCAATCATTTGAAACATCTATTTTGTCATGGAATGTCGAAGAACCGAGACGAAAGCCTAAAATATCTGTCACCGAATGCTTTCACGTTTACATCTTCATAAACTTTTTTCGAGCCGACGTACCGAACCTGATAACAAAGAGAAAGCGTAAAACCGAACGATTTTAAAAAAGAAATGATATATTTCATGACATTCTTATATATTATATATGTCTCATTCACTTTATCAACCGGCAAACCAGAAAACTGTTGCTGGTTTGAGTATGAAGAATTGTTCGTCGATAAAAGGTCTGAGTATCGATTGTGAAATATATAAAATCTCCGCAACAAAAGAAAAAGCACGCTCGTTCCCTAGTAAGAGGGTTTTAAATCTTGAGAGCCATCTGCGAGGAAAGAATCATTTGGGTTTTATTCGCATGTCGTGTGATTTGCAAATGACAGGTTGGAATGAGATATGCTTATTTGTTGGCAAATTCCTATACAGTGAAAGTTGTATTATTTTAGTTCCCATAAATGAATGTTCTAATCAAAACATTTTTTTCATATTCATACACTTTTATGTAGGATATTTCAATGAAACTAATCGCTTATATTTTCATTTGCATATCATGTTAGACGCACTTGACTTAGTGGGGAAATTCGGAAAACAACAATCAGTTTTTCTAGAGAGAAAGACGCCAATGATAATTTTCATATTATTACACTAGTTTACAGCCAATTTNCAAACCCATACATTCCTAAGAGACAAATCATATCAATCGAATTTAAACTTTCAGCAACCAGAAACATTCACCACTTCTATCACCACCAACCTTTGAATGATTCTAGTTTATATCGCTAGAAATTTTTCGAATGATGCTCAAGAAAAAGGAAAAATTTGACGCAGTATAGACCGATGCATCCAAATTATCTGTAATATTCAATATATGCACAGAGCAACCCTGCATCTATTGCAACTACTTTCTGATACAGTGAGTAATATTTTTCAAACAACTACCGCCATCTCTAGGTCAGGTCGGTACTTCTGGGACCACTCTGCCATGTCGAAGTACTACTCTTTTATCTCACGACATGTCACATACTGATCTTTTCCCATCATCTTGCTTGTGGCATTGAATTATTTTTTGAAACAACTGATTTTATTCGCATTTTACGACATTCATCACTGAATGACGCAAGTCCACATAATATTGTTAACGGTGTTTTCAGATGGTGTTTCATTAGTACCCAAAATTGAAGTTATTCTTTACTCTCTTGTCGAAAACCTACACCAGTGACTTCTGTTTTTTCCACACATCTGCTTTTATCAAACACTAACTGTCAACTTACGTAGTAAGTAAAGGTGGTATAAGATCCTTCATTTGTAATTCCTCCAATAAGCGCAGATACAATCTATGAAATTCATTTCAATCAATTTTCCTTTATAGTCTGCAAAAATCTCCTAAACAACTTCAGCACGTGTCGGTTGCAGTGAGATTAAAAGAGAACTTCTCTTTATGGCACAATCCATCTTTTGATTCCTATCATATGCAGTGACTCAGACTGTCGGAAGACAGTGTGTGTCGCCTCTGGACAATGATGAAACAGCAGAGCACATACTTTGTACTTGCCCCGCTGCGTGCCGAATCAGGTATCCAGAGTTTGGCAGAGCCGTACTCTGCCAAACTCCTGACCTAAAAGATCACTCACCATACGAACTAAGAAGCTGGGTTTATTTGGAATACGTGTGATCCACAATGAACCCTTTGGGGTTACGGTGGAGGATCAAATAGATCCACTTCTGACCCAACCTAACCTAGCTCACATTGATAAATTGGCTGTGAGTGATTAACTGAAGTTTGGTAATTCACATTGTTCATGTTGGCATCACAGTTAGTCATAGGATATATATTTCAAGGTTGAATGAAACTCGTGGCAATGATAGTAGTAAAGTTGTTGAAAGTACGAATATTTTATGGCTGCAATTTTAAATGATCCGTCAAAAACGGACTTTTACTATTATTTTTAATAACAACTAATTACGTCTGGATTGCTTTGCCTACTAATAAAAATGAGGTTAGGTTAGATTGAAGAGAAAATATATTCTGAAATGAAAAAACTGCACGATATTTACAACTTCAAATCTATACTTTCGCACCGAGGAACAGAAATGTTGAAGCGGCTTATGATGGAAAAAGCTTGAAGGAATTATGGAGGGAAGCTAACACTTAGGTTTCCAAAACGCAGTTAGTAAATACAAGCAGCCCAAATTTGAGAAAAGTACGATTCGCACTGAAGCATGCTAAAATCAACAAAGCAGACGTAGATACCCGAGGGACTCAACTGAAGATCCTTCTCACTCTACAAAAGAACCAACTGGTGGTATCCAAACCGAAATGGTATGATAAAACGAAGATAGTGGAAGGTTCAGTTTACGCAGGGAAGGACCGATATGCTTCTGAAATCATCGGGTTTTATCTCTCGATGATATTAAAGAAACATTTGTGTTCTATAAGCGTAGAAAGGCAAATATCGCTCAAGAACGATGTTCTACCTGTTGCCACGAATAGTTTGCTAGAAACTGACCCGGTATGTGATAACAATTTGTATTTGAGTGGGGCTGTGATTTTTAACTTCAACGCAACTGTGGCTACTCATAGGTCTCCTTGGCAGAGGACGTATAAGAAAGGAAAATAAGCTCTGTGGCAGGTGTTCCCTGGAAGCTACTGTAAGACAGTCAAAGAAAGAATATCTGAAAAACGCTTACATGACCTAATAGATATATCCATTTTTGATTTTCTTATACAAAACGGGGACAGGCACCATTACGAAACTATCGATGATACTGTGCTTTGGCCAGACAATGGTGAAGGATTAGGGAACCCAAATACCTATCACATCGATATCCTAGCCCCTCTGTACCAGTGTTGCATTTTGAGAAGAGAAACCTGGAAGACTCTTTTGAAGTTGACAGAGAGAACTATTAGGAAACATCTGGAGATGATCCCTGGTGTCAAAACNTTGCGTATGGGTGGTCTTGCTGGTTTGCGCTAAATTTTTCTTTATTCTTATGAACGTAGAGGATATTGACGTCATCATCCGAGTCAGTATAACAATCTGGCAAACACGCATTTGTGATTCGTGGCGCGTCACACCTATGATTTTTGTATCACAATAAATATCAGCAAAACAGCATTAGTAAAATTCTCTATGCAGAACACCACTGAAAATCTCAAAATATATGAAGATAGCCAAATAGAGGTGACATGCAACCCAGACACAAAAATGCTAGGTCTAATTATAGATCATAAGCTCAATTGGGGTCCTGATATAGATTCACCATGCGATAAACTACGAACGAACTGTTATGCACTGAGATTCATTTAGAATCATTTTGAAAGAGAGGTTTTCCTAAATCTGTATTATGCAATTATTGGCTGTCACTTGCGCTATGGAATCTTGAATTATAGTATGAGGTCTTCAGATGGAAGAGTATTCATTTCAGAAAAGCGCGCGGTCAAAAGAATAGCTAGTTTGAGATGGCGACACTCATGCAGAAACTCATTTTAAGAGCTGGAAACGCTCACAGTTGTTGGTCAGTATATACATATATGAGATGTGTCTTTATATTTGTGAGAATATGAAAAAAATTAGGGCAAACCAACAAGACCACCCATACGCCACTAGAGCTGGCGGGTTGCTGATAGCGAATCCTCACCGAACCTCTCTCTGTCGCAAGAGTCATCTATACCTTGGATCAATACTATGTAACAGGCTAGATGTTTCTATTGAGGACTCAAAAGTCATTTTTTTGCTCCCCAAATATGAGCTGTAGTCCTCGTGGTTCTGGTTCCCTTTCAGTGGAAGTGCTTCATGGAGTAAGAATCGTATTGATTCCTCTTGGAAGGATTGATTGCAGTTCAAGAAGTGGTTCTGATGCACATTTTGTGGAACATGTTCTTCCTTACGAATCAGTCAACAGTTGTCCTGAATATCTTGCGAAGAAAATTGGATTAGATAATTTAGAAATTACTTGCTACATGAATAGCATTTTACGAGTGTTGTTCATGATGGACAATTTCAAGAAGGAGGTTTTAACGATTAACGACTAAACTGACTAAACTCAAACACCTGTTCATGCAACTGCAGTTTCGTGAGGATGTTTCATCTTTCTCACCAACTGATTTCCTAGAGTCTTTGAAGTCCACTAGATGCTCGTTAGGACAAGAGGATTGTTTTGAATTCTAAGGAAGCTTGTTAAATACACTTCGTTGGTAGGAATTTAGCAGAATCAATATTCCTGACCGCTCTGAATTGAATGATTCCGTACAGTCTCTCTCGTCTTGTATTTGTAGATCTTTTGCTGGAAAAATCCTCACTAGTTTACTTTGTAGTACATGTTCAAAAGGTAGCAAAAACGTATGTGACTTACTTCAACTGGTGTTTCCCGATATGACTGATAACCAGAAAGTGCAAATCTCATTGTTAAATCATCTGAAAATAGAACCTTTAACGGGTCATGATCAACTGTATTGCCAAATATGCGCCAAACTAACTGACTAAATGACATGTCATGACATGTCATCCCTGCATATTCGAAAGACAATTGAAAAAATAGCTCATTGAAAGAAACTGCTACACCGTTGACGAGTGTTAATACCTTCTCTCGATAAATAATTGTTAATTACCTTTATCCTTTATCTGCCATGTTTTGTTGTTTTATATATTTTTTCCAGTTATAAATATACGTCTTCCTTATTACTGTATTGTAATGCTTTTATACTGTTCAACAAGTGAAATGAATATTATTATTACCACTATTATTATTAAATAGATTGGTATACGTATCCAATTCACATCTCAATCATTTTCTGATTCTGCCCTTATACGTAAAAAATATCGGCCTGCTATTTTTGGTTATCTCATAATTATCATCAACTGTCTGAACTGTCTGTGCCATGCGACGTTCAAAACAATAAAAAACATCAGTCTAGCAAAAAACATAAAAAGGTATTTATTCATCAAACCACTGACGTGTTGACAACAGTTGAGAGAAATAGATCCAATCATTTGAAACATCTATTTTGTCATGGAATGTCGAAGAACCGAGACGAAAGCCTAAAATATCTGTCACCGAATGCTTTCACGTTTACATCTTCATAAACTTTTTTCGAGCCGACGTACCGAACCTGATAACAAAGAGAAAGCGTAAAACCGAACGATTTTAAAAAAGAAATGATATATTTCATGACATTCTTATATATTATATATGTCTCATTCACTTTATCAACCGGCAAACCAGAAAACTGTTGCTGGTTTGAGTATGAAGAATTGTTCGTCGATAAAAGGTCTGAGTATCGATTGTGAAATATATAAAATCTCCGCAGCAAAAGAAAAAGCACGCTCGTTCCCTAGTAAGAGGGTTTTAAATCTTGAGAGCCATCTGCGAGGAAAGAATCATTTGGGTTTTATTCGCATGTCGTGTGATTTGCAAATGACAGGTTGGAATGAGATATGCTTATTTGTTGTGACATACGAAAGTATGTCACTTATTCTAAATGCAAAAAGTTATAATACGTATAAGTGGCAAATATGTGGTGACATAAGTCATAGGACTTCTGGGACCTCTCTGCCATGTCGAAGTACTACTCTTTTATCTCACGACATGTCACATACTGATCTTTTCCAATCATCTTGCTTGTGGCATTGAATTATTTTTTGAAACAACTGATTTTATTCGCATTTTACGACATTCATCACTAAAGGACGCAAGTCCACATGATATTGTTAACAGTGTTTTCAGATGGTGTTTCGTTAGTACCCAAAATTGAAGTTATTCTTTTCTCTCTTGTCGAAAACCTTCACCAGTGACTTCTGTTTTTTCCACACATCTGCTTTTATCAAACACTAACTGTCAACTTACGAAGTAAGTAAAGGTGGTTTAAGATCCTTCATTTGAAATACCATCAAACAGTTCTTCGCTGAAAGAAAGCTCTGATGGAGAATGCAAGCACTCAATCATAAAATTCTCATTCATTCCTCCAATAAGCGCAGATACAATCTATGAAATTCATTGCAATCAATTTTCCTTCATATTCTGCAAAAATCTCCTAAACAACTTCAGCACGTGTCGGTTGCAGTGAGATTAAAAGAGAACTTCTCTTTATGGCACAATCCATCTTTTGATTCCTTAAAACTGTAGAAAGATCAGCAGCGAGAGCCGGCGAACTCCCATAGCCGTACGATAGATAAAAGCTAAACGTGTCTCAACTTTTGAAAAGTGTAACAAGTAAAAAAGTTGTGGAAGTTATCTTGTGCAACTTGGGGCTTTTCTGGCTGCTTTATCGCGCTCCGCAGCCGATTTATCAAGTGCGAAGGTATGCCGCAGTTCCATCCCAATTTTCCTTCATTTTCCTTCGAACAGAAGGGGGATGGCAATCAGGACTTTCAGATTTAATAGAAATATGAATCAGAAGGAAAATGAAAGGGTGATCAAGATACGATTGTCCTTAAATCATCTTCGTTGGGACTGGGTTTTATTGAATGGGGAATTATACAAACGATCTTACTTGAATAATTCAGACCCTACATAAAATTCAAAAATATCTTTGTTCTCAAGGTTATTTGTTGATTATATTACATATTTCAACCGAGTTCTGTTCATGGACAACCTGACAAAAAGTATGCATCTGTAAATGAGGATGCTTCGGTTAGAGATCATATCTATTAGTTGAACACTATCTTCACTGGTACCACGGAATCTCTCGATCATCAGTATATAAATTGAGATCATTTGTTATTTCATATTTTTGATAACTCCGGCACTTAGTAACGTCTATTGTTATATATAATCGTATAGTCTATACATGAAAATATATGATATGATGTGATATATATGAGATGATCACCAATTACATTACTTGTGATTCACTGTTTGGAACTTTTGGTGTAGTAATAGATAGATAGGAATCACACGTTAAAAGGTAAAACCTCGTTAGTCCTTAGCTCGCAAACGTTTCTCAACTTGTGCTTGTTGTCGTTCGTATGGGGGCGACAGCTGATTAACGGAAAAACAGATTTTAAAACAGATTTTTAAACAGATTAAAGAGATAGATAGATTGGCAGCACTTTATTTCCAACAGGTGTACATCCAATAACAGGAAATGTTAAAGAAAATTTACTGAAAAAAATAACATTCAATTCAATTCAATTTACATATTACATATTCAATTGACAAATTACAAATGGTATTAATAATATAAATGAAATAATTTAATAAGATTCAATTGACATATTATAAATGAATAGGCCTTCACAAGGTTGACATAAATTTAAAATTATATAAAAAAACTATAAATGAAAGGTTCTATGTGGGATACCATCCTTGATAAAGTTCAAAGAGTTACCATTAATGTCACACATGTTACATACTAAATAAAAAAAAATTATTACACATTAAATTTACTGGTGCTTTGAGATTCACATTTTTTGTTCTACTACTCTGACAATTGAATGTTTTCTCGTATCTTGAGTTGAGGCGTCGTACATAAAAATTTATTTTTTGTAGGAGAGGAGCACATTATATAGAAATGTGACCGTAATGAGGAAGTCTACATGTATTCAGTGATTGAATTAGTTCAAAGGGATGAAATAGTCAATCCTCTTTTGGGGCTGAATACCTGTAGTGCGAAAAGACAAGAATTTCAAGAAATTTTTTTGGACAGCTTCAATTTGCTGTATGTGAGAATTAATAATGGGATACCAGATCATCGCCCCATATTCTAGTTTGGACCTCACATAAGCATATAATAACGTGATTTTCACCTTTGTATCTCTGAATACTCTGGTGTCCCTCATTATGAAGCCCAACATTCGACTAGCGGACGAAACAGCTTGGTCTATATGTGAAACAAAAGTGAATTTCTGATCAAAATTAATGCCAAGCTCTTTCATTTCATTTACTCTACTTATGGTATTGTTATCAATTTTGTAGGTAAATTGTATTAGACTTTCCTTTCTGGAAAAAGACAATACACGACATTTAGCAATGTGAACATTTAAACGATTATTGGAACACCAATCATATGTCAGATCTAATTTATATTGTAAGTCTAAGCAGTCTCCATAATTTTGTATCACCTTGAATATTTCAAGGTCATCGACGTAAAACTGTTCCGAATTGCTTATCATTTTAGTTAAATCAATAATGAAAATCAAAAATAAAAGGGGTCCTAAATTCGAGCTTTGGGGCACTCCGGAACTGGGAGTATATAGAGCAGATTTAAATCTTTTATACTCTACATATTGTTTTCTATCGAGTAGATGATTTGACATGAGTTTCACCAATTTCACTGAAAAACCAAATTCTGATAGACGCTTGAGGAGAATGAAGATATTTATTCGATCAAAAGCTTTTTGCATGTCTGTTTAATCCCAACAGTTTAATCCCAACACCAAAGCAAGCAAGCTCACTTTTGTGGTATTCTGAACATTTTACGTTTCACAATTCACTTGAGGGATTTAGAAATATTGGTTTATATTTCTGTTACCATAATTTTTTCTGACTGAACTGACGTCTCAACAGTTGAATGCCCACAGGTTTCACTTCCAAAACGAAATTTCGTTCCACATTTGTAAGTTTTCCAAAATAAATATAAGTTATATAACTAAACAACTATCAGACATAAGCATTACGTTTTGTGAAAATGAAATTATACCATGTCGCATTGCGATAGGTCACCCTGCGCAGCTCTGTTTCACGGCTGTGCTGCTTAGGTAAGAATTGAATTCAAATTCAGTGTAAGGGGCAGGTTTGTAACAAAACTTAGCTTTCGCAAAGTGTGAAACAAACCTTCGCATCAGCCTTCGCATGTTTTTAACGGAGTTTTAACGGAGTTGGAAATATATTTTCAGTGTCAATGATCCTTGATGTTTTCTGGGCTTATAACTTTGACTTCATATGGAAAATTAATATTTTGAAAAAACTTTCTGGGTATTTTCACCATCCTCAAGAAAATTTCTGACTACCATATAAAAATTTCAAAGATTTCAATCTATCCAATGATACAATACAGAAAATTCCTAAGAATACGAATTTTGGAGAGCCACCTGCTCACAAAAGAAGGAACGTATCAATTTATGGTCGCATTGTTGCATTTGGTGAAAAATAACATTATTATTCAATATATTATGAACGCATGAGTCTATTCATTAGTCCTTCCAGTACCCCGACTTTACTCTCCTTAATTTTTTTCTCCGTAGTTCACTTGATGAATGGAACTATACGAGTACTGGTGTAAACACAAATCACAGAGCCGTACTGAAAAGTATTTGAGTAGTTCAGCAAATGATAATGGAAAATGGGCAATGTTCTTGAAAAATTATTCATTTCCTCCTCACCCTAATTTGGTCAATTTAAGGTCATTAATATCTCAAGCAACCATAAAGAAGCCAATCACGTTCTGAAAGATTAACTGTAGTCCGTCCCAACCAGAGAGAAAGTGCATCTGTTTCCGACTTCTCCGTGTTCTTCTTCCAACCCATACCCTTGCTCCAAATAACAATCAAGCATTTTAATCAAATAACCGACGTGCGGAATTCACTCAACTAGTTCCGTGCACTCCTTCCCGTTTACGTGTACTAAAACAGGACAAAAACCGGGAAAGTGGCAATTGAGGAGGTGCAACAAATAATACCATTAATCCTGCCGGAGCAAAGTAGAATATCTAATGATCTTGGAGGGTGTATGGAGAACATTTTCTGAATAAAGTTGAGCTAGTCTGACTCCAAAAGCACGGCGTAATGAGCTTGGCATATGTGAGTTGAGACAATAATAAATAATGATTTCGAATCTGTGGATGACGATGATAGATAAAGAGGTGGGGGTTTTATAGGTGTATATGGACTAACGAAAGTTGTTTTTTTATGAGGTGACAATAAAACTGGTTGATGAAATCAAATGAGTTAATACATTGCATCCGTCAGTCATACTTGAATTATACGTATTTTATAGAAAAAAACTTTCACAATTTTGGGGTGGAGAAGAAATTGAAACAACCGACAGGACTTATATATATTGAGTAATACTTGTCCCAGTACAGGGCCTTTCAAACTATGATATCGCAAAAAAAAATTGATTCCCCAAGTATTATATCTCGGTTTTAGACATTTTTTTTTCGAATTTTTATCTCGATTGACTTCAAGTTTTGGTTCTCCACGCAAAAAAATACTCAACTCTCTAACATCAACGCAAGTTTCAGAAATTTCGATCGAAAGGGAAAAGTTTATGTTGAAGTTGAATTTTCAACTCCAAATTAAAAATTGAAATGATATTTCATAGTTTCGGATTTTGAAATTATCAAGCTGAATTTCTCTTAATTGTTTCATTGAGAAAAATATTCTCTTTTTGTCATTCTCAATAATTTGGATAAAAATACCTCGAGTGAAGCGAAAATTAAAAATTGAAATGATATTTCATAGTTTCGGATTTTGAAATTATCAAGCTGAATTTCTCTTAATTGTTTCATTGAGAAAAATATTCTCTTTTTGTCATTCTCTATAATTCGGATAAAAATACCTCGAGTGAAGCGAAAATACCCAAAATAACTCTTCAATTATATTGTTAGCTGATTTCGGCCAGACCCTATTGGTGAAAAGTGCCTAAAAAATATAATTTTGTCTAAAATGAATATTTGTTCGCATTTCCTTGCAGGCAAGTAGATATGTCATAATAAGTAGTTCAGACGATTTCACCTCGAAGTATACAAATTTCATAATTCTACATAATATGACATATTTTTGTGAATTCCTGCTAGGTCAGTTTTATATTTTTTCGTAGATATGAACCGCCACAATCGTCATTTTTTTATACATTTCTTATTCAGTGTCAGTCACCCTGAGAAACTGAGCAATTTTTCATGAAAGTTAAAATTGAAAATATAGGGTATATTATTATTCCACTACTAAAGTTACTACATTATTTCAGGAACTATATGAAATAATGTATAGGGAATCGCACGTTGAAAGGTGAGACCTTGTTATCCTTGGCTCGCACAGAGCCAAGTGAGATGATAGCTGGTTTATGGAAGAAGCATATTTCAACAGAAAACAGAACGGAATTTAATAATTCAGTTTATGCATAATTACGTTTCAAATATCCCTCTAACTATATTACAGAATCTATAAACCTTGAAAAGTGTCTTTCAATATCTTGAAATTGAGTGACATCTTAATTTCCATTTTAATTTTTTGTATTTTCAGGAAGACATTTCATAAATTTGATAATTTATTCAAATGTATTCACTGTTTTATTATGTTTCTGAGAAGTAATTTTCCGGTTTGCTTCATACGAATCAATCTTTGGAATAGTAATTTAGACAATAAAGTTTTATTCACATCAAATAACTGATTTATAAAGTTTCTGTACTTCGAAAACCGATTCAAAACTATTGGATAACCTTTTTGTGTTATTACGGATTTTTTATTGAGATTTTTCATAATTTGCTCATTTTCAATTATTGAACATAAATATTTCACTGCTAATCAAAACTTTCATTTATAATTTTATGCGTGAAAAACAATTCTTGAGGATTATAACCGATAGGTTGCCTTTTATGTTTCGGGATTTGGCAACCTCTATGTTGCAATCTGGAAACTGACAGCTCTATCGTAAAGTTGGACATTTTTTAGCTCATACGTACTCAGAACATATTCGCGCTATCTGTGTTGTTTACAATAACTCGAAAGATTCATCTCGGCCCAAAAATGGAAATAAATCGTGAATATTTTCGTGCAATTATTTTTTTCTTTCGACGTGGATTTACTCAGCAACAGTGCATGGATGAACTTAATTCAATTTTTGGCGAGGAAGCTCCATCAAAGACCAGTGTTTATCGATGGTATGGTGAATTCAATCGTGGTCGTAGTTTACTCTAAAGGTGCTAGTCACCAAAAAAGCGAGCACGAGCGAACAAGAGCGAACAAGAGTGAACGAGAATTCTTCATCAATAATCGTCTGGTAAGTACGGGCTAGCGAGCGAGCGAACGTATGCTTATTCGCGTTCAGAAAAGTTTGAAAAGAAGGCGGTACATAAAAAGTTGCTCGCACAAAGTAGATGGATCAACTACGACTACGAACTTGAAGATATTCGCTCTGGTGTGGACGAGACATCAATATGTCGAGCAATCATGAGCGAACACGAGCAAACATACACGAATGCTCGCTCATGCTCGCTCGTGCTCGCTTTTTTGGTGAATACGCACCTTAAGACGAATTTCGTGAAGGTCGTCCAAAATCAGTTGTTGTTCCGAAAATAATTGATGCTGTGCGCGAACTGATATTGCAAGATCGTCATGTGACCCATCGTGAGATTGAGACAACCTTAGGCATTAGTTGGACCAGCATACATTCAATATTGCATAAACATTCAACTGTCAAAAACATTTTTTATCACATCACATCACACAATTTGTCACTCGCTCAAAAAAAGACTCGTGTCGATTGGTCGAAGGAAATGCTCAAAAAATACGATCGCGGTGCTTCGAAACACGTCTATGACATCGTGGCAGGTGATGAATTGTGGATTTACGCGTATGAGCACGACAGTAAACAGCAGTCGACTGTATGGGTGTTTCAAGACAAGCCGAATCCAACAGAAGTTGTTCGCGCACGAAGCACTTTCAAGCAAATGGTCGCCTGTTTTTTCGAAAAAAGTGGACATGTCGCAACCGTCTCACTAGAACAACGCAAAATAGTCAATTCTGAGTGGTACACAACTATTTGTTTGCCAGTTGTCTTCCAAGAAATCAGGAAAACCAACCTCCGAAGACGGATCTATCTTCTCCACGACAATGCGAGCTCTCACACATCGGCTCAAACAACTGCATTTTTGAGCACCCAAAACATCGATTTGATGAGTCATCTGCCGTATAGTCCTGACTACGATCATCAATAATAGTCTGTCGAGATCTAGATTGTCAGTGAAAAGTAAAGGAAATACCATGGGCAGTGATACTTCTAAGAAACAGAAGAAATGCAACTTGTATGGACATGTTACCGGGGAAGAATCTGATAGTGAAAATTCTTCGGTGTACCATGAACCCTACAAACTACTTCCGAATGGTAAACAGGAGTATGGTTGTCTACTGAAGAAAGAGGGTATTTCGACTAGTAAAAGCGGAGAATATACAGGTGAGCAGAATAATATATTGGACTTTTCAAAACTTCATCAGGAATTGAAAAAGAAAAGAGTCGTTAATACATACTTCTATTGTTTCCATTAGTTTTTTATAACAATCTATTAAAGAGATAGACGGTGGTGTTTCAACATCATCTACAGGTGCTAATATGCAAATAGATGAAGGCCGAATATGGAGTCCTTGCATAGAAAGTAGTCATACTCATTGCTCATACTTCATCTTGATATTTCAGAGTGGATAACTGATCCATGTATCAGTTATCCACTCTCTTACGGAATTATCAGGATGTTGATAAAGATAATGTTCTATAAGTTTTCCTAATATTCAACAAAATTGAAGAGTTTAGAGGTAATGGAAACAGCACTGTATAATGTTGAATGTAAAACTATTCAAATCCTGAGACCTCGTCTTTTCATATACAGGAATCTTACTGACGATATTACTATCTTTCAACAGAATGACACATTTTATTCATTTCATAAAATGTGTATTTTTATAAAAATGCAAAAACGGGCCTTGTAGCTGTTACCAGAAGAACTTTAATTCATAACGGAAAATAAGAGAGACACTTTAGAATAATTGTGTAATGTTTCAAGGAATTTCTAGATGCTTTTAATACATTAAATGCGGAGTCGGTTTCGAATTTAAATCCGAAATGAAGACAGCGGCGGTCCTTACAGAGTTCTTAACGATACTTTGAATATTGCACTCAGTGGTGTTTACGAGTTCTACAGAAGTCTAACATTTCGATTAGACTTTAACCCTTGTCTACAGTTTCATATACGTATATTTATAAAATCCGCAGACGCTTAATAAAGCAGTAAATATGACTATATTATGAAGAGATTTGAGATCTGTTGATCATGGTTGAGTTCGTCGTCCACTGCAACTTCTGGAGATGAAGCAATCTACTATGTTCAAGTAACACCTCTCCATCAACACTTTGTCAAAAAAAGCAGTCTGGATAGGCAGTTCAGATGAAATTGAAAGACAGGTTAGGTTAGGTTCAAAGTGCAAGTCAAACTTGACCAAACGTGTCACGCTTTTCAATGAAGCCGATGAGTTTATTTGTTGAGTGATATTTTAGAACAGATGGCGAGAATCAAACTCAGCCATTCATTGAAAACCTAACTTGGTATACGGCTAGACAGGCGTATAGTATATGCCCCATTATTTAATCGTCTTTCAGAAACTTCCAAACAGTATTTTTATAAGATGAGTCGTCATACGATAGTGACCCAGACTACGTAGGTCATCACTGTTTAGTCTAACAACAGTTTCGTGACTCTTTTCGAAATATGTATGGATAAATGTCTTGGCGTGGTCCAATCTTGGTAGTCCAATACTGGTCCAAGTATTCAGTACCAGAAATAATGTTCCGAAGAACTGGTTGCTTCCATGGCATCGTATGATATACTTGGTAAAGAAAAGTATTAGCTTCAACTTCCCCTCTCAAAACTCCCCAATTTAAAATATAAAAGATCTACAGGTTCCCGTCATTTACATTTAGAACATCTGACAGTTGGTATGCTCTCTTTTACTTAATTAAGGATTAGAAAAGCCTCCGGGAGAGTTTCGCAGCTCGAATTCAGTTATTTCAGCTTCGGGAGAAGAGGTGGAGAATAGACGGTTTGAATGGGTTTCAGACTTGAGGGAATTCGGTGCCGTTAGTCACATTTTCCATGTAAATTTTCAGTTAAACAAAAATTCGGAAGAAACAATGACAATTGTGTATCGAAACAATGCAAAATCATTTTGAGTTTATGTCAGAAGAAGCTGTTCTGTGACAAGTGATTGAATATCTGTTGAGCTTGGAACTCGAAGATATGAAACTTGATGGAACGTATGGCAAATGTAGGACTGTAGATGAAGCTACTTAGAGTCTTTGGCAGGTAGAAAACCAGTTTTTTTTTCCTTTCTTGACTTCCAGCTTTGAACTGACATTGATTTTTAACAAATAATGTTCAATTTCCAGCGCCGACATTGAAAGAAACTGTATTTGAATCACAATATTATTAAAAATCACAAAGCCTGACGAATGTAGAAGTATTCAGGATGGTTTAATTGTGAAAGTGTTCAATTGAAGTTATGGACATTTTTTCAATCAATAATTTCAGCGTTTGGTTTAACTTAAGAACGATTTGAAACTAGTTTCTTCATCACCAAGTGTAATTTCCAACCCACAATAGTAAAAACACAAGCGATCCAATAATTAACGAGGTCTATCCAAACGTACGATTCTTAGCACGGATCAGACGATACGCAGTAGACACCCGTCATGTCAGAGTGGATATCGAATCCCCATTCAGAATAAATCGAATTAACCACTTTCGCTAATCAATCGTCTACAGTCTCACCAATTAATTAAATCAGTTTTCATAGTTACATTGAACTTTGATTTGGTGAATTTTTTCATACACCTTCTATATATTGATATTTATTTATTCTTGACCTTCCAATTCGAAAACTCATCCGTTATTGTAACAGTCTCACGATAGAATCTTGAAAAGTGATGAAAGATGTGCTTTTAGCAACCATGTCTTCAAAGAAGATCACGAAATTGACTACAGTTCAACTGAAATTTTGTTTCTTTATTTGTTGTTTCTGGAAATGGTATTATTTCCCAGTCTGAGTCTTACCTTAACCGAACTGATGTTCATCAACGCAGTAAAATTTATGGTTTTTCCGTCAATTTCAGAATGTATTTCATAAATATCTTCTTTTTTTTCTTGCATAATCAAACTTTGCCTTATTATCAATTAATATACTTTATATCTTTGAATACATATTATATAAATCAAATAAATAAGCAATTATTATAAAACTAAATTTGTATACAAAATTTTGTATGTTGATGACTTCATTCATGGACATTACAGTTTTATTCCAGTCCTCGGTCACCTTGACGGTGGTAAATTCATTCTCTAATTGATCAAGTTGAATTATTTTTGCCAATGATTTTATGGAAGATTCCTCTGAGAACCGTCTACTTGACACTGCTGTGTATATATGAAAAAGGTATCTGCTTTTTGAACAGTGGAATAACCTCAATACAAAGACTTAACAAAAAGCATTGTGTAGGAATGTCGCAAGAAAAATTATCAGCATCAAATACAAAGTGACAGGGAAGCAAATTCAATTTTTTGTAAAAACATACAAACGTAGGTACTATTGAGACTTTCGAGCAAAAATTTTAAACGATTGTTGTAGAAACAATTCTCTTATAAATTTAGTGACAAAAACTTTTCACTATCTTTGCAATTGGTAGTAATGTTTTCTCAATGGTAAGCATGGTCCCATGGAAAATGTCATATCACGTATGTTGGTAACATTCTTTGTTCTTTGGAAGACACAAAATTGCTAATTCTGTGCCATATTTCATGTTACATTTTAGTCTCTTTGTTCTAGCTTACCTAGCACATGTGCTTTCTACCTGTTGATTATTTTGATGATTTAATGAATGATTTGTATTACTTCATGAATATTTTGTGTATGATGTTTTTCTTTGAACAAATTATATCTCAAGACCATACCTGCATTGACATGTTCTATTTATATAACTCGAACATCATTTGTGGCACAGCAAAGTAATTTTTTCCTTCATTTTTATTTCAATTTTCGACATGTATTTCACTTAACAATTATTGTAGCTGTTTCAAAAGATCACTCAATATATAAAGTGAATCAGCATCGTTGACCAACAGTGTTATAGTGAAACACCATAGCAACTTTTTGATACAATAAAAAGGTATACGGATTCAATGAAACAGTGGTGTTAACTGAAATTGTTTGGCTTGGAACTTCAATAAAAGCAGTATATTTGTATTCCACTGCAATTTTCATGATATATCTGAGAAAAATGAACAGATAAAAGGTAAATCACAAACGAATTGTCTAGGATTTGGAATATATAATAAATTCAAACTCGACTTGTCATATAAAATCATATTAGTGAAGTTAGATGATATTTCAAATTTTTCTATGTAATTGTAGTTAATATGTTTCAATACATAATTCTACATTTTATATCAACATTTTTTTTGACTATTTAATGTCAGGTATGAGGCGACTAATATTACACACATATATTTTATCTTAACCTGGAATATTTTTTTAATAAAACTTGTTTCATTATTTAATACAGTTGCCTTTGAAGGCGACATAACGATTATTGCGGTGATATAATTTTTGATACCATTTTAAAGTACGACTTGTCTCCTATCTCAACATTGCCCTCAGTTTCAACGAGTATCTCTTCATCGGCGCTAGATATTTTTTCTAAGAACAGGATAAAGTCGCTGGGGCCAGATCTGGAGAATTCGGTGGATGTGGAAGCAATTCGAACATCAGCCAGCTCGACTAACTTCATTTTGCGACCATCCAAAATTATTTCGTGGACTTTTTTTTTATGTTTTTGTCGGTAACAGCCACTATGGGGCGTCCACTGCATGCATCGTCTCTAGTGCTCATTTCACCTCGTTTAAACTCAGCAAACTACTTCTCAACAGTTGATTTTCCCGGTTCAAAGTACGAATAATGCTTATCAAGCCAAGCCTTGGTTCAACAGTATTTTTTTGACAAAAAGCAATGCTTCTATTTTGATCAGACTAACAAAAATTGCTTTACTCAAAATGTTCTATCCCACAAACTAATAGTCCAACAGCTGTGAAATTTAAACAGGTATATTTTGAAGGTTAGGTTTGACAAGAAATGATATGGATTCAATACTAGTAGCACCATCTATCCGTCAATCTACGAACTTTTCATCCCACCTAATATCTTGTCGCAGACTTAGTACAGAGTTATCAGCCTGCCTATGGACATGCGTCACCGTATTTCAAGCGGAAATCTACGCTACTGATTCATGTATTTAGCGATTGGCAAAAATTAACTCACGAATAAACATGTTTCCGGTAGCCAAGCGGCTCTGGTAGAACTAAGCAACGTCCAAGTTGGTGGAGAACTGTCAAAAAAGGCTCACCTCAATAAGAA